TAACTGAAATTTAATTCTTTGGCAGTTATTCTACTTTAGCCACTTAAATTGTAATTCTAGGATTTATATTTGGTTTAAAGTGGCAGATATTTGCCCCTACGTGTATGACAGACAGCTAAATGCCATTCAGTGAATGGCATTCACCACCAGTTAAATCTACTCCAACCAGTCTTCCCGTCTTTCCAACATGACCTGAACGCAGCACCAGCTTCCTCCTCTGTCTTTCAGACTTGGCAGAAATATCCAAGCTGACTAATTTGAGCTCCTTTCTGTCCATCTAGTCAACCATCTGTCTGCGTGTGTGAGTGCTGAGCTGGTACATGAGTTCCAGCTTTTTCTGGATTTGGTTGGTGATGCACCGGGAGGAGGAGGAAGTGTCTTCTCAGTTGCAATCCATACAGGTTTCAACCGGTCCTGGGCTGCTGGGTGCTGCCACTGTTCTCTCTCTCACGCTGGCCCTGAGAGGAGGGAGGAGAGAGCAGGCGAAGAGGGAACAGAAAGAAACAAAAGTGGCCACTGGGGTGTGTGATACGAGATCACACCACCACGTGGAGGTGATGTGTTGACAGTACGTACACCCGTGCAGACTGATTACATTAATAATTGACTTTGTCTGCGGGTTCCAGAGAAAAGTATGCACACAGTGGAATATATCACATGTGCTGTTTATGCAATGGGCCCAAATGTTTATCCAGAGTCAAGTGGAACAGTCATGTGATAACTGAGGACCCCTGAAGATCTCAAACAAAAAGAAAGTAGAGGATTAGTGCATGGAAACAGCTGTCAGTTGTTTTCTCCGTGACCTGCTGCCAAGATATGATTTACAACGAGGTGTTTATGTGCAGAGCAATACGCCAAACCTGGCAGACGTACAGCGTGTGGGGATGAGGTGGAGGTTCAAAGTGTTGACAGTGGGAGCAGCGGCCCAGCAGTATGGGATGTCCAGCAGCTCACAAGTCCAGACACCCCTGGCAACCAGTTCAGTGAGTTGAGAATCGCTTCAATGAGGTATAAATTATTCAGCACGGACCTCCCCCATCTGATTTGTAAAGAATACACTCTGTGGCATCGCACTCAGGCGGCAGCCGCAACATCAGTCGATCCCAGAGTGGAAGTAGGAAAAAATAAACAGTCTTTCATTTTTTATTTTTTTTCCCCAAAGCCACAAACCAACAACAAACCCAAACAAACAAACCTGTTTCTATGGCAGTTAATTTCCTGTATGCTCAGTAAACACAGAGCCCTCACCCGCTTACGCAGTGGGGGAGGAAACTCAGGATTAGGGTGAGTGTGGGATGTGTGTAGGGGTTGGGCTGGGGGTCAGGAGGTGGATGTAATCAATACAGACTTAGTGGGTGTAGTCAGACATGGAAAGGTGACGCAGTGAGGACAGTAAAGAATGATGATGTGAGTTTGGAAAACAGCTCGTAAGGCCTTTGTTATTTGGTGTCCATGTGATGTCTGTCATGCTGGGATTATTTCTTCAAGTGGAATCTGCACGGACATGATCAGACCTGCGAAGCTTTTGTATTGTCAGAGCAGACGGTGAGACTTTTTACCCCTGTTGCAACAGCGCAGCAAAAAGTAGAACTCATGTTTTACACATGTTCTCCTGCAGCAATGCATGAATACATTTGGGTGTTGTTTCCAGCACTGATAGGGCACTGAGGCTGTTTTCCACTAAACCACGATCACCCACGTTGGACTCAGACATCCACATCAGTGCAGCGCTGCCAGCACTCGCCAGATGTCGAATCAAACTGACTGTACTCAGCGTCACGTTGCTGTTTAAACAAATCTGATCAAGAAGTCGGGGGGGATTCCAGTGTGTTTCACTACAGAGAGAGAGACTGATGCTGAATGATCTGCTGCTCATAAATACTAATTACTTGAATCATCTTCCTGGAACAGTGAGTGTCAGAGCTGAGCCTCAGCAGCACTTCCCCAACCGAACTCACTGCTTTGATGTGGCTCCACCTGCTGTTGTCTCGATGCACACTGACGCTGCACACTGGTGCTGTTCAGGTAGTCCTAATGTGATAGTTAGCTGCAGGTTGTGAGTACCTGGATGGAATAGACTTATGTTGCACACACATAAGTAGCAGGCAGCTCATGTTTAGGCACAGATATTTCATCTGCACACATACATGGCCTTGTTGTTGTGCTGAAACTCGACCAGATCAAATGAGTCTTTGTGACTGTCTGGTTTCTTAAACCGGCCTGGGAAGTTGGCTGCAGAGGCGCAGTGCCATCGCAGACTGGTACTGAGTCAGAGACACAGACTGGCACAGTCCTACAGCAATGTCACTCACATTGTTGTTTTTTTTTTTTTTTTTTTTATCAGTAGGCTTCTTAAGAAAAACTGGTTCAGTTCAGAGGAGAGACGCTCAGCTTGCTTTGCCTGGAGGTCACATTTACAAGATGACACTCGGCCTTCTTTGAAACTACTTATTTTCAGTAAACATTTAAAATATAAAGAAGCAGTTCATTCTGTTTCTTGGGTTCACATTTCATTGCCAAATAAAAAAAAAAACAGCTGCCAGATGGTTCCTTATCACAAAACGGATTTGGCCTAAAGTGTGACAGGTTTAGAGATGTGTTGTTGCAGAAGTGTTTAGCAGCAGTGCAAGAACAACTTGAATCCTTTTCTTAAGTTTTTCAAAAAAAATGTCAATACAGCAATGTAAAAACAACAACCTAAAAAAAGAAGTCCTGCGTGACATGTCCTACTTAAGTAAAAGCACATAAGCATTAGTATCAGAATGTAGGTAAAGTCCTGAAGTAGAAGTTCTGGTTTTGGTCCCTGTGACTGATTTATTATTATATATGACATCATAGATCATAAATACTGAATCATCAGTGTGTCAGCGGCGTGTTATTGTTGAAGCTGCTGCAGGTGGAGCTGCTTAAAGCTGCTTTTAATCCAGTTTTATTTACAGTGACAATACAGTGGTAATAAGTCTGAGGGCTCATCAGATGATTAATGGGAGAGGAAAGAAGGGAAAAACAAAGTTCTGGTGCACCTCTGACGTGTGAATGTAAGACGTTAGACGCCGAAATGGTTGGAAACCGCCGGTTCAATCTTTAACTGTGTGTTGTATTTTATTATCTAGTGTGTAAAATATTCATCTTAGAGGTCGCTAATGTTTCTCACTGAAATGAAATGAAGTATAAAGCAGCATAAAACTGAAATTCTCATTTTCCTAACATTTGGCAAGATATTACAAAACTGTTTTCTGAAAGCTTCCT